TCTCTCTCTCTCTCTCTCTCTCTCTCTCTCTCTCTCTCTCTCTCTGTCTGTCTCAATGGCTCATTTGAGCGCAACTTTGTCTTCGGGTAAAAGTGGCCCTATATAAAGGGCAGCAGCTGTAGCATTTCTTCAGTCGCCCAGACCTGGTGGGGGTCAGTTGTTCAGTGCAGTAAAGTGAAGTGAACTGATGTGTGTGATCGTTCAGCTAAGCATTGAGGACTTGGAGAAAATACTTTGAGGAATTACTGAGAAGATATACTGAGAAGAAATATTTGTAGGAATCGCTTAGAGGTAATGAAGGAATTACTTAACGAAAGTACTCAGAGAATATAAAGTTTTCTTCGATTTTCCAGCCAGCTATTCCAAGAGTTTTCCTAAATTTCAGCCAGTTTTAATCGACTCTTATCCACAATCCAAATGATTTCGGAGCTCAACAGCTGGCAGCACTGTTTGTCAATGTCAAGAACAACGACAACGATAACAACAACAACAACAACTAGCAAAGAAATGCCAAAAGCTCGAGCGCTGCTTGTTCATTGTTCGACAATAAAAAGGCTGTTGTTCATTTTTATGGAGTAACGCCTGCTGCCCTCTGCCCTCTGCCCCTGCTCCTGTTCCGTGCTCCATTGTCGGACTGCCCTGTTGCCTGCCCTTCACCATTTAGCCTTTTTCCTTTAAGATTCTCTATGTAAGACGCCGCCAGACGCCGCAAAAGTGTTTGAGAAGGCGGCGTCTTGAAGACGCCATTGTTGAAATTACACCAAAAACAAAGGCGGGGCAAAAACAACAACAACAGCGACAACGACAATTGTGAGCAAATGTGAATGGCAGAAGGTGAAAAGGTATTTATCACAATGCTACCCTGTGGTGGGGGATATTTCAAATTGAATATCCCTTTTTAAGGTGAATTTAAAGTTAAAAGATCCCTTAACCGATATACATACATACTACATACAAACTCAATTTGTCCCTCTATAAACTGTTATATTTGCTTGTGTAAGCTGTTATATATGCCTGTAGCACATGTGAGCCTTGTTGGGATATTTTATACGAAATTTCTCTCTTATGCAAAAAATGCCTTTGTTCACTTTGATCACATTGCAGGGTATCTGAAACAAGAGAGCAGCAACAATCAGCAACAACAACAACAACAACGTGCGTCTCAACAATAAGCAGCTTGTCGTTTAGTTCAGCCACAGCCACGCCCACACTTTGTGCGCCTGCTAGCCGCCTACAGTTCGAGTGTGTGACGCACATAATGAGCGCCTCTCAGCACTCCCCTCACACGTACGCATACAGTTGAGCAAAAAAGTTTATGAATATGATGGAATAATTAAAAGTTGGCGCCAATTTGTGGGCGTGGCAGTGTTGGGCCCTGTTGGCAGCACGTCGCGTCGCGTAGGTGGCGCAATGTCAACTTCAAATAACACGAGCTGAACACCCACGCCCCCCTGGCAGGAGGTGGGCGGCTCTGCCTCTCTCCCTCTCTCCCTCTCTCTCTCTCTCGCCCTCTCACTCTGTCAGCCTAGCAGTTGGCATTGTTTGCCTTTGCGTTTGGCACTTTTGTGGCCTTTGGTCTTAGGCCTTTGGGGCGTCTGTTTGAGATTTACAGACATATATATATGTATGTATGTATGTATATATACATATATAAATTAGAGCAACTTGTTTTGGGCACCTTTTTTCATGTTTTCTTATTATTATTTGTTTTTTCCTTTATTTTTTATTATATATTTTGCAAAGTTTTTCTTTTAGGTTTGCTTTTTGCGTGCACCTTTATCGTTGCTTGTTGTTTTGCTTTTTATTTTTAATTATGCATTACACATTAATTAAGACACAGATTTACCTTTTAAAGGTAGCCAAGGATGTTGTTGCTTAGATCTTAAAGTTAGCTCGAACAAAACCTAAACCTCATCTTAGTTGTTTGTGTGCTTGCTGAGGCGCATCAGCTGCCACGCCCACCATTTGCAGCTAGTCTAGGTGACACACACACACACATGCACATGCGTAGAGACACGCTTGACTGCATGCCTGAGCGCATTCAAAGGATAATTATGTGCACATTTATGCTGGGCGCCCGACTCGAGTCTCTGGGCAGCCACTCAAAGTGCTGCAGCTCTGCGTCATGTCAACAGAAGCAGCAACAACATCGTCAACAACAACAACAACATCAGCATTAGCTCAAAAGTTTATTTGCTGCTGCTGCTGCTGCTCCTGCTGCGCCTGCTCCTGCTAAGCAGCCTCAGCCTCAGCCTCAGAGTCAAACACAAACACGGAAATACGCTCAGCAATTTGGTTCAATGAACCTCAATGAGTTGCACTACAAAGAGCTATGCAGGGTTAACCAGCTACACTGCGAGAAAGTGGGGAAAATATGATATCCTATATATAATTACATGCAATTAAAATGAGTTCGTATGATGTCTTTATAATGTGAGGTTCTACTGGAAATGTGTGAAGACAAATCTCTGAAATATGTGAGCTGTGTGTGTGACTACGTTGATATCAAATGGAAATATTTTTATTTTATTAATTTTTTTTTAAAGAAATATACAACATTTTATATTATTTATTATAATTCACTTGATTTTTATTTTTATTTTATTATCTTATTAGCAAAACTTTTTAAACAGACTTGGAAAAATTCTTCCAACGATATTTTTTAGACAGATTTAATTTTTAGACAGATTTTTTACTGCATTTTCTTCTGATTAATTTATTTATTTTTTAATTTTTTAATATTTTTATTATTTAATTTTTTATTTTTTAATTTTTATTTTTTATTTTTTTATTTTTTAATTTTTATTTTTTTCAGTAAGTTCTATATATTTATGTTTTGAATATTTATCTGGGGTTCCTTAGCGAAAATAAGCTCCCATATTTTTAATTTTTTCAGCGGGTTTATTTTCAGGATGTCCATAAACTTATTCATTTTCTTTGAAATCGTTTTTTTTTTTTAGTAGATACTATATATACCATATATATACTATGATATTCTAACTATACTTTTACTTGGATTACTTTGTTCTCTAGGAAATGGATTATTCATGTTAAGTGTTCTACATCGGGCGTAGATGCTCATCTCCCACTTTTTCCTACATTTTGCTCTTAGTCTAAGATTATTAAGATCATAAGAGATAACACCCTCAATATACCATTTCTTCAGTCCAGTTTATTTAAGTATATTCCCATTTGTAATTACACCATATGTAGTCTATATGGGAAATTTATAATGGGAAAATACTTAAATGCACTGGAATGAAACAATGGTATATAGAGTGAGTTATATTTTCTCTTCCAACCCACCTTCCCCAAGTTCACTCCAATTTCTTTAGACTTTCGCTCACACCTTTGGCTAATTTTCATTAAATGCTTTGAGATTCAGCTTACCCTGGCTCTGTCTCAACTCAGTTTCTATTCGCCTTTGCAGCTTGGCTCAGCTCATATTTCAGCTGCTGCCAGCTGCCGTCAGTTGCCCCAATTTGTAGCAGTGTATCATTTGCCGGGCGCCTCCCATGTTGAATTGCAATCTGAAACTAGCAATTTGCCAGTTGAGGCAGTCTGAAGCGCTTTAAATTTTAGTTCTGCTTCTTAAACGTGTCTCGTGGCCATAAAAAACGAGCAGCAGCTGCTGTCAAGAGTTACGACGACGACGATGTCGACCTGTCTGTGAGCCGTGTTAAAATATATATGTTTGCCAGCTCTTTTTGGCTTGTTGCAATTGTTGTTGTTGTTGTTGTTGCTGTTGTAGCATATGGGAAGTAGTTTATTTAAGGTAAGCCCAAGCCCAAAGACTTATAAATTTCCCGAGCAACAACTTGAGACTCGAATTTGTTTTATTTCTTATGTGAGCCACGCAACTGAAAACTTTACAACATAATCCAAAACTTATACAAAAGGAGTAGCAACAAAAAAAAAAAAAACAAAAAGAGCCAAAAAACTTGTGGGTAAAGAAGCTGGCGTCTCTCCTCTCTCTCTCTCTCTCTCTCTCTCTCTTTGTCGCTTCCACTTGAGCTGCTGTCCTGGCCTTAGTTTTATGTTGCAAGTCCTTTTTAGCCTTTTGCGCTTTTATGTTCGTTTGCCACATGACGAATGAGTCTCGGGGCAACATTTCATGTGTGAGGCGAGCTAGGCGAGAGACGGCGACAAATCAAAAATTGCAGCCCAGTTCACACTTTGAGCTAAAGTGTAGAGGGTAGTGATGAATGCGGGGGGGTGGGGGTGGCGAGGGGCGGATGGTGGGGCTTGGCTGCTAGCATCAAAACATGTCAATTTACAGGCGAATGCATCCACGCAATTCGCATCCTTTGACGTTGGCGCTGAAAAGCCAAAGATTTTCATCCAATTTGCAAAAGTGGCGCGTCGCGTTACGCATACGCCACGTGTGCCAGCGTCGACAGCGAGACATTTGGCTGGCCCCCAACTCGCTCCAACTGAAATGCCGTCTCGCTTCAACTCCCTCAGTTTGTTCTTTTTACGTCCCTCTGCCCAGCTGCCGCTTTGCTTGACTTGACTCGCTGCGACATGTGAGCTCTCTCTGTGTGTGTGTGTGCATGTGTGTGTGTGGGTCTCGTTGTTAGCGGGGAAAGCTGCTAGAGGGACCTGACTGTAGTGGGGCTGCAGCACGTGCCCGCTGGCAAGTCAAACATTACAACATTACGCGCTTTCCAATTCACCTGTGAAAATCATTTGCTCTTGCCTTGCCTTCGTCTTTTTGCGCTTTAATGTGCGCATTTTTATTATTTTTATTACACGCAATACCCTGCAACTACTGTGGCTGCAGATGGGTTGCTTAGCTATAAGTTTTTTGCAGTATTAGTAAATGGGAAAACAATTTTGGAGAGGAATTTAGCTTATGGAAGACGGAAGGTCGAAGGTAAAAGAGGAAGATGGAAAATTAAAAGGTTAGAAAATTAGAAGATGGGAAGACTAATAGATGATGGATTAGATGATTGGAACCCAGACGATAGATGGTAGATGATAGATAATAGATGATAGATGATAGATAATAGATGATAGATGATAGATAATAGATGATAGATGATAGATGATAGATGATAGATGATAGATGATTGATGATAGATGATAGATGATAGAAGATAGAAGATAGATGATAGATGATAGATGATAGATGATAGATGATGGATGATAGATGATAGATGATAGATGATAGATGATAGATGATAGATGATAGATGATGGATCATAGATGATAGATTATAGATTACAGATGATAGATGATAGGTGATGGATGATAAATGATAGATAAGAGATAATGGATGATAGATGATAGAAGATGGAAGATGGAAAATAGAAAATGGAAAATAAAAGATGGAAAATGGAGAATGAAAGATGAGAGATGGAAGATGGAAGATGAAAGATGAAAGATGGTAGATGGAAAATGGAAAATGGAAAATGAAAGATTGAGGATTGAAGATGGAAGATGAAAGATGAAAGCTAGAAGATGGAAATATGAAAACGAAAAATGGAGAGCTACATTTCAAGTACAGGGTATTCCTTGGCCATGCCATGCAGTTGCAGCAGCCGCCCTATGCGCTTTGCTCCTTTTTTGTACTTTTTTGTTGTTTTGGCTTCGCTCTTTCGCATGTCGAATTTGCCTTGTCAAACGTTGAGGCAAACGTGACAAGCATTAGCTATATAGCTATATATGTATATATGTATATACATACATATATATGGGAGCTATATAGAGGAGCTGCCTACACAAATGCCGGCATGTCTTCATATGGAGTCAAGCGAGGGCGTGGATGCATGGGGGCGTGGCAATGAATAACGTGCGTAGTTTGGTATATCAGTTGAATGTCGAACATTTCTGTTGATAAGCCAAAAAGGGGCACAGAACTTAGACAGTGCAAATAAAAAGGGGTTGGCATACATAACCAATACATATATAATATATAAGATATTTATAGTGTATTTGTGTATGTGTGCGGCATATGTACAAACAACATTTATTGTGTCAAGACAAAAGTTTTCGCACACATCTATCAAAGGCGCTGAAAAGTCATGCACAGAGTGAATTTCCATGTTGGAAAATTTTGAAGAGCTGCGACAAGCTAGAAGCATATGGCCCAAGTCATAGATGGTAATAGTTGTTGTGTGTGTGTTGGCAAACCCAGCCCCTAGAGCAATATGCAAATTGAAAATAGGAAAATGCCAGAATGCTGAAATGAAAATGAAAATGCTGAACGAACGCAATCGAAATTAAATGACTTTTGCTTATTGTGCAATCAAGAATTACTACAAAATAAACTACAATTGAGTCGCATTTACATATCATTGAATAAATTGCAACAAAGTACACACACACACACGCACACTCTGAAGCACTTGAATACTATAAATGCTATAACAATTTCCATTTGAACTCCCTTTACGCCCCCTTTTCAGCTGCTCAAGAGAGTTGCGTTCCCCAGTTTTCATTTCGAAAATTTCGACTGACTGAAGAAATCACATAAAAATACAAAGAGAGAGCAGATAGAGGGGCAGATAGAACTCAAGAGAGAGAGAGAGGGAGAGGAAGATACTTAACATATGTGCGTGTGTTTTGGCTGTCTGGCAGACAAACATTTTGTGACTTTACGCAAATTGTTTTGCCAAATGCAAAAAAAAGATAGGGGAAAATTTGGAAAATTTGTGCCACAAAATGAATTGTTGTTGCCATTTGGCACTCAACTTCTATTGCTCGTGGCTGTTTCGGTTTTAGTTTAAGTTTCAGCTACCTTCTTCCTCTTCTTTTATTTGGGAAATTCGCTGCGGCAATTGAGTCTACTTATTATTGGCATTATCACCTGTCTCTTGACAGACTTAGCCGGCTAAAAATAGCCCAAGCGTCTCACAATAAAACCAAATAAAAAATGCAAATTACGCCCGTTGCTCGTTCAAGCGAAAATGGCGTTGAAATTGAAAAGCCAAAATGGCTGTGACTAGCGCATAGCGCTATGAATACAGATACACAGCGACACACACACACACACGTACAGTTATACGTATACATGGCCAAATATCTATCGAAATGCGTATTGGCTGTGCGTAGTATAATACAGCTTAGCTTGACTATGATGAACGTGTGAGTAAACGTGAGTGAAATGGGCAAGAAATTAGCTTAATAGGCTTTAATTTAAGATAATACAAATTGTTGTTACTAATTTGTTATCGATAATTTATGCAAAACTTTAATATGACATAAAAATGACAGCATTCCTGTTAGAAAAATAATTATCCTTTAGAATAATGAGAGCGTGGGAGCGAGGCAGAAAGTGATAGACATAGAGAGAGAGAAAGAGAAAGTGAAAAATAGTGAGAGCAGAAAGAGAGAGAGAGATGGAAGAAGAGTGACATATCCGGCAAGTTGTCTATCATAGTGCAGTCCCACCGTAGCCCATTTGCCATTTGGAGAGCATTGTAAAAATGCCCACGCAGCAGCAAAAGTCAAGTGTCCATAACAAAGTCCAGCTGAAACTTGGCCAAAACCCCAAAAAAGGAACCTTGGTTTACACGATTTTGAGTGGTACACTCAGCCTCTATTTCGCTCCCCTTTCCTATGTTTTTTTGTTTTTTAAATTGCAGCGCCCGCAACTTTGGAGGCTCATAAAATATGTAGGCAGAGCATAGCGAGGACTGTTGGATGGTTAGCGCCGAGCAAAAGGGGGCAAAAAGGTAGCGTAAATTGCTGAAATATGCATGCGACAGTGGAGCCCAGGGCAGGGGAGCCCGCAGTAAATGGAGAGTAAGGGCTGCCATTGCCATTCCATTATCAAGGCATTGGCGTTGGTCCAGCCAGCGCTCGGCCATAGAAAACTACGTGTCAGGCATGCGAAAGCTGGTAAAAAAAAAAATGAGAGAAGAGTGGAGAATATAACACACTTTAGCTTGGCTGCGAACAATGCGTGCCGCATTGGACTTTGGTCAATTGGACATTTTGGTTCGCTTTGGCTTTGGATGTTGTGGTTTTTTGGAAATTGCACGCATTTGATTGCGTTATTGAAATTGACTGTGGCTTCATTACTATAATGCTATGCGATGGGCGGGGCCAGCCGCCCGCATTAAGGAATTCAATTATAAATGCCAGCACAGCACAGCGGAGCACAACACAGCAGCCCAAGCTCTCTCTCTCTCTCTCTCTCTCTCATTCTCTCCATCTCTCTTTATCTACAAACCCTCACAGCTGTTTGCCTGTTCTGCGGCCTAACTTATGAATATAAATCTGCTACCTGTGTGTATGTGTGTGTGTGTGTTGGTTGGTGTGAGCTCAGTTTTGTCTGGGTGGGTCCACACAATTTTGTTTAATTGCCACGTGGGGTTTGGTAGTGCTCAAGACCCTAGTTGAGTGCCACAAAATGGCAGCTAGTGGGCCTGGGATTTGAGATTAGTCGGCAGCAGTTGATAAATGTTGACTTTATGCCTATTGGCTGTTTGCTTTGCTTTTTGAGGGGGGACTGAGCCCATGAGCCTCGACACTGTTGCTTTTAATTAACGACTGTTGCTTAAGTGCTTTTTAATCCATTTAAATTGAAAGCCACTTAAATTAGATTTGAAAATTAACGTTTTTTATAATCAACAGCTATAATCATCGTTAAATTGTGCGGGGGCATAACCGTTTGGTGACGCTATATGCGTTGCAGCTAATATTACTATTAATAACAAAGTTACTTACAACTAGGAAATTCATTCTTAATCAGAATTCCATTAAAATGATATTCAAATATAAATATATCTTATGCATATACAAGTATGTATATATATATCAAAACTCAAATTGTTGTCTGTTTCAGGCTGTAATCATCGATGAGTATCGCAGATAGTGATCAGCATACGCAGCCTTAATTATTGGTGTGGCAACGCTCACGCCAAAATGTATGTGCTGCTATCGATATTGTTTAACCGTTTCGCTTCGGAGCAACAGCTGTTCTGCGCTGATTAGACCATCACTGAGTAAGAAACTTTGTTCTCGCTGGCTCAAATCAATTGGACTCTTAATTGATAAGGACAGAAAATTAGTCAAGTATATAGATACATATAGCTGATTATCTAATTTGTTTGCGTCCAATGAATAGTTTGTTCTACATTAACAACAGCAACAAAAATGGCCTTCAGACGCTGCCACCTGAATCCGAAGAAGACTTTGTTTCTGCTCTGCGACATACAGGAGAAATTTCGGCCCAGCATGCCGCTCTTCGACAATATGGTCAAGAACGTAGATAAGCTGGTAAGCTGTGAACTTTGTAACCAAATTCGTTATCGATAATCGATTGTTTTTGCAGACAAAGGCGGGCAAAGTTTTGGATGTGCCTTTGGTTGTAACGGAACACTATCCCGAGAAGCTGGGCAAAACGGTGGCCGAGGTGGATATATCCCATGCAAAGGCTGTGATGGGTAAGACCTACTTTAGCATGATGACGCCGCAGGTGAAGAGCGTCATAAAGGACATCTTTGGCGAGAAGCCACAGGATGTGGTGCTCTATGGACTCGAGGTAATTAGTTTCACTTGCTATTGTTGCTGAGTAACTGAATCTCTTGCCTCTTTTAGTCTCACATATGCATAGAGCAAACGGCAATTGATCTGCGGGAGCAGGATATCAATGTCTACATTGTGGCCGATTGCTGCTGCTCGCGTCTCAAACAGGATCGTGATTTGGCCCTGGAGCGCCTGAGACAGGCGGGCTGCATCATCACCACCAGCGAGAGCGTTATCTTTGATCTGGTTCGCGATAAGAACAATCCAAAGTTCGATATTGTGCGCAAGCTGGTGAACCCCATCTCGCAGGACATGGAGCTGGCACGCAATCCTGCCAAGCTGTAGAAGAGTTTTTGTTATATATTACTTGTTTATCGCATTTAAAGTAAACTATATTCCGTGCTGTCATTTTGAAACTGTTAACTGAGGTGTTAAGAAAGGTGACAAAGGTGTAACAATATAAGAACGGTGATGATTAAGATGCACAGCTTGTACTTGAGGGATCTACTTAGGTAAGTAGATAAATAAGTTATTTACTTTCTTTTAATACCCTAAGTGAGCGCCGTATATAGCAAGCAAGCAACAGGGAAAACCAGCAGCTGAATCAAAATATATACTATGGGCTGAAATGCTAAAGGAAATGCAGGCAATCGCGGATCTCAAACGTTCTAGCTAGGCCGATTGTTACCCCATTAAGTTCTGTCTAGTTACATGCATTTCGACTAAGCAGAATCTCGAATTGAAATACTTGCAAGTGCCGATCTGGCATGGCGATTGCCAGGATCTGAATGAGCTGTATGGTCCATTGAAATGCCTTGGGTCTGTTGTATGTGGCTGTGAATGGACTTTTAGATATTCCATTAAGTTGTCGTTTCCGGAACATGTTTTCGAATGGCTTCCATTCAGATCGAACAATGGACTCGTCGCATTTAAATATAACATTTACAATGGCCATCCCTTCCGGCTATCGCCTCCACCACCCACCCACCCAGCGCAGCATGACAATGCGTATTTTATGGACTTGGCGAAAGAGTTGGAACGGCGACACGTGCCGTGCCGCGCCACAGCCCCCACTTTGGATAGAAATTTGTGGAAAATCTTGCGTCGTAAAGTTTTATTTTTATGTCCAACTGATGAAAGGACGCAACCAATTGCAATTGAAATATCGTTGAGTGTGCGTAAGTGTGTGTGTGTGTAGGGTAACAGGGCGATATGGCGAGTGCCTAATGCTTAATGTCTGCCGTGTTTTGGCTGCGGGCGTGGACGCACCTTCTGCTCCTCCTTGGGCGGATGCGCCTCGATGTAAGCCAGCGCCTTCAGTATGGCTTCAGGTGTGGGCGGCGGCGTGGGCAGCGAGTCGCCATGTGGATGATATCCGTTCTCGTCGGCTGTGTAGGACACCTGAATGGGTACGCCCTCCTTTGTGGTAAAGTGATATTGGCCCTGGACATTATTGTGAGCGTCGCCAACCTCCTGGGCGCCGATGCCGTTCGTTATGTCATAGCTATATGCAAAGTTGCCATGGCCGTCATCCTTATGCACCTCCTTCGCCTTGGCATGGGCATCGTCATCCACGGCGGAGCCGACGGCAATCAGCAGGGCGACAATCAGGAAGAGCTGTCCGACAGCGTTAGTGAGAGTTGGACAGGTGTTGAGGTGTTTAATATACTTACATGTTTGTACATGTTGATATTTGGGTTTCAATTGCTGCTCCAACTGCGCTTAGCCAAAGGCTTTTATAGCCCCAGCAAAATTGTTGTGCAAAGCCGTTGATATATACGTACGTAAAGACGTAAATATATATTAAGCTGATCTGTTTTATTAAAATTGAAATGTAATGAGCTGCATAAATTACAATTGCCTGCCCCGCTCACCGTCCCATTTAACTGTATCACATTTCGTTTTCAGTTGAATTTTGAGTTCAGCTTTATTTTTATTTATATTTATTTTTCGGGTAAACGAGTTGCATCAAGACGAGTTTAATTAATATGTGGATGAAAGCCAGTGGCATCGGCTGTATAGGTCACACGTATGGGTCCCTCCTCGCCGGGCAGAAAGTATTCACCTTGGACGCTGTTCACGTTGCCCTTGGCCGATGCCCTGACGCCATTATTCACCTCGATCTCGTGATTGTATTGGCCAGCGCCATCCAGATTCTGCTGATTGATGTGCTTAATCAGCACGGGCTCCAGCTCCTTCACATCGGCCAAGGTGAAGCTGGCGCACAGGAGCACCACCAGCAGGAGGAGATATTTCTAGATATGCAAAGTCAGTTCGCTTAACCGAAATCAAATCAATTCTCGTTACTCACATGATTCAACATGATTTTTGATATTTGTTTTCCTTTTTTGCTCGAATAGCAGCAGGGCAGCGGCTTTTTATAGCCGCGCTCCGGTTTTCGTTTTCGGTTTCAGCCCAAACGAGTTTCAATTAATCGCTGTTAATGCTTTAATTAATTCAATGAGCAATTCAATTAGATTAGCATGGATTGCTCTCTCTCCCTCTCCATCTCCCTCTCTCTCACTCGCGCGTCTGGTTTTGAAGGGCTCGTCAAATAACAAATTGAAATTCAAATTTCAGATAAATCGAAAAATGCATATGTATATATAAACAGAAACCAAATCAATTATTAAAGCAGTTAAAAATGAACTTTATGTGGATGGATTCGGTGCTTTTTGTTCCTTTAGCAACTCCTGCTGCTGCTGCTGCTGCTGCTGCTGCACCAAAGGCTTGACTCGAGCAGTTAGTATTTTGGCCAATCCATTGCTCAGCTTTGGCTGCTTCAAAACAGTTTTCACGCTGCTAATCGCCTTCTTCTCCTTCTCCTTTTCCTTCTCGTTAATGCTCTCCTGTTCCTTTTCGCCGTCTACCAACGATGGATATAGATGAGCAACCTCTCTGTCTATTTCCGTGTCTATTTCACTATCCTTGTTCACCGTCTGCTTGCTGTGTTTGTCGTAGAACTTCTCATAGAATCGGGAGACTTCGTTGCGCACGGTCGTCTTGAGAGCATTCATGTCCCACGGCACGCCCATCTTGGATTTGATTTGATCGGAAACATTGCCATCGTCGCTGGTTGAGAAGAGCGTGCGAAACAGGTGGCCCAGGTCATTTGGCGTGTCCTCGTCGTCAGCTGAGCTGCGAGACACGCGTTCCACGTTCTTCTTGTCATCCTTCGAGTCGTTCATGTCGTTCGACATTAGCATATCAAAGCCAATCTGAGGTCCCCTTAGGTAACCGCGATTCTTTAGATATACCAATGGCGACGTCCAAGTGCCTATGAGATCCTTGACAATCTCTTGAACAGAGTTTTTATAATCCAGTGCCTTCACATTGTCGTTCTTTGAATTCACAACGGATTTAGGATCATCTTTGATTGCGGCCTGCAGTGTGAGAGGCACGCTCATAAGCGATATCATTAGAATCAACGAGAAGGTGTTCATGACTGCGCAATTTAGATATTCATAGAAACGGTTTTTTATTTTTAAAATTTATTTTTTATTTAAAATTCGATAATCGATTGTCCCACATTATCGAAACTGTCAAACGGTTATGCCAGCGACAATTCGAGATTGAAATTTGACATATTTGTGCTCATAAATGATCATGGCATTATAACAGCAATGATTCTAATAATACAAAAAAAAGTAGGCGAAGATAAATAAATATGCAAATCCGAAAATATCGAATTCATCGCGATGTAATTCACAATCGATAGCTGCACGACGCAGCTACTTGTGCCGCTTGCGTGAAACGGTTATGCTCATCGATAGTTAATCGGTGAACAGCTGTTGGTTTGCTGGAGACGAGATTTGTGACTCGAAAACGTAACAAAAATAACAATTTAATGTATTTGTTTGTCATTAAAACGTCTTTACTACACTTTTAGAGCAACGGGCATCACAGCCAGGACGCAATGGTTATTACAAACAAAACAACACTGCCCGAAGAGGCAGAACTGGATGTGCAGGAACTGAATCTATCGTCGGCTGCGCTCCGTGCTGGTTCTTTTCACTTGGGCAAGCAATGCGAAGGAGTCAATAATGTGAGTATACTTCACTTTTAAAGCAACTATTACATACTGAAAGCTATGCCTAAATGCATGTATTAGAGGTGTTCACTCAGCTGATGTGTAAATGTCCCGGCTAAATGGCTCCCAGACGCAGTTATATAACCTAACCTCAAAAGCTGTGGGGCAATTGTTTTTGTTTACGTTTTTTTTAATGTTCCTGTTCGCCCATTTTGCAGGAGTTCATGCTTTGTCGCCAAGAGCTAGATGATCCGCGCGCCTGCTTGGCCGAGGGACGCGCCGTCACCAGCTGCGCCCTAAATTTCTTTCGCAAGGTAAAGAAGAGCTGCCATGAGGAGTTCATGCAGTACGCCACTTGCCTGGACAAGAGCAGCGGCACCATGGCATTCAGCCAGTAAGTAGCGATTTGTGATTGACTGATCATGGTCACATGCCCACACTTGCCGTTTTTCAGTTGCCGCAAGACTCAGGGTGTTTTTGATAAGTGTGTAAAGGACCACTTTGACTGGGACCGTCCTTCCTATGGCTACTTTGCGCGTGCCAAGGTGAGTAACCCAGAAATTAGAATTTTATTATAATTTTATTGGCATTTGCTTTCTTCTTTTCAGGTCATTCAAACGGAGCGCAAGGCACCTGAGAAAGAGCCCATCAAATCATATCCCGATGCTACGCCCGGCCTGCCAGAGGATTATCCAACTCCACCAGCCAAATACGGTTCGCGCTTCTTTTGGCTGGAATAAACGTTGTGGCTTAGTCAAATTCTTAGGGCGGGCCATTGGCCAAACTTGTAGTTTACAACATGCATAAAATCTTGTTTCCATTAGTAAGCCAACGCATTTTTGTTAATCAGCAAATTTCATTTGTGCTTGGTCCAGCTTGGATTGTCAAGGATTCAACAAGTGTTCCCGTTGTAAACTCTTAAGTCTATTTATGTAATAGAGACAGGTTTACTATTATCCGGAATGCTGTTTAAATCTTTTAGTTGTAGTAGCTATCATCGTATTTGGCAATCCTAGATGAAGATTACAGAGAGCCATTGAGGCTATTCCTTTCTTACACAAGTCTGATCAAAATATTTATGTTAATAATCAGTGAATTTAAAATTTATTTAGCATCGAACATTTCCACCTCACTCATGGCTTCAATTGCTGTTTCACTCCTAAACATTTAATAGATCTTATTTACACTAACAGAATCATCTCTAGTAACTAATCCGTATACCATTTGGTACGCTTGGGTTTCTTCACTTTGCCGTCTGTCACACCTCCGCCGCCTTCATTGCCACTGATCATGTTTTTGTATTTGTTGATAAGAGGTCGTAGCTCGTCCTTTTCCTTTTTCCGTCCTTGTTTGGGTCGATTGTTGGCCTTGCGTTCCGCCAAATGTGATTCGCGAATCTTTTTGTTCTTCTGTTTCCGTTTCTCGGTCTTCACGCGTTTCATATGCTCTTGCGCCTGCTCAATGATCTTTTTCTTTGAACGCATGCGAAGGGAGGTGCCCGGCTTGGCAGCAGTGCCCACATAGTCGCCCTCCACATCGCTGACCTTCTTCTGTTGTTGCTTCTGTTTGCCCTCTGCCTTGGCTGCTCGACTCGCCTCCAGTTTCTTGATGTGTTTCTGTAGTTTCGCCTTGTTATCGTCCTGTGGGCCCATGATCTTTGGAGTTGGCTTTATACCCTTCCGCTTGAGCGCCCGCTGCTCCTTTCGCTGTTCCAGCTTCGATTTGTATGTGGGATTATTTAGCTTGGACCGCTCCGTCCGTTTCTCCTTGATCTTGTGCACCGCTCGATCCTCAATGCTAAACGCTACAATGGGACGCTGCAAGATATGGACAAAGTTGAGTAACTCTCAGTGAGTGGAACAGAGATCTACTTACGTGTTGCGTGCCAAAGATTTTGGGATTGTTATTTAGCTTGCGCAGCGCAGCAAGAGCTTTCTGATGGGTGTCGAAGGATAAAAAGCCGAAGCCTTTGGATTTGCCATTTGGATGCTCTGGCGTAATCTTGTGGTCACGCATCACTCGGCATTCGTGTGGACGAAACCCCGTGTAGGTGAGAGCCATCTGCTTGAGCTTCTCGTTGTCATAGTTCAAGGGCAGATTGTGTATGGATAGGCGATTGCGTGAAACGAAGCTGGAATAGGAAAGTAATTAAATAATTTTCACAATTATATTGCGTTTTTAGAACTTACCGGTTCAAGTTCTTGAGCACCTGCGTTTTCACCTGCTCCAATTCGTGTCGCTTGGCCATGTCGGAGGCGGAAACTCCTTCGGCTGCCTTTGAATTGGCCATGATTAGACCCTCTCTGGCCAGATAGAGATTACGCGAATCCTTGGTCTCCTCCTTAGAGTTTTCGGCTTTTTTGGCTTTAATTTCATCACGACTTAGCGCTGGATGTGGATCCAGCACCTCATCCATTAACTTAAACTCGGTGCCAGCCTGCAGACAGAGATCGGCCGACTCCTTGGCCTTAAATTTGACAAAGGCTGTGCCTTTGGAATGGCCGGAAACTGCTTGCCGATTAATGATTGCATACTGCACTACTCCGAATTTACGGCACACTTTACGCAAATCCGCATCTTCGGCGTCAAAGGGCACGTTCTTGATGAAGACTGTGCAGCCTTCTTGTACATCATTGGAAATGATTTTCTCCCGCTTCACGTGTTCCAGTTTTGATTTCAAGTCCTTTTTGTCTTTCTTTTCATCTTCATCATCATCATCATTGCCTTCATCATCACTGCCATCATCATCATCAATGTCATCATCATCATCTTCATCATCATCATCATCATTATCACTGCCATCATCATTATCGGAATCTTCTTCGTCTTCGTTCTCACTCAGTTCCTCCTCTTCATCAGCTTTCTCTGGGACCTTTTTCTGCACGGTCTCAGTTCCATTTTCATTTTCATTCTCTTCCTTCACCTCCAGCTTGGGTTTCTTATCCTCGGGTTCATCTTTCTGGTGCTTGGCTGTATATTCATCCTTGCCAATGGCCCAATCCACGAAAATCTTACGTCCCAACAGTTCCTTTCCATTGGATTTCAGTATAGCCTTGGTTGCCTGATTGACGGTCTCATATTGCACAAATGCGCAGCCAACGAGTTTTCCGTCGCCACGTTTTAGGATGTGCACATCTTCCAAAGTGCCCCATTGCCCAAAATATTCGCGCAGCGTTTCGTCCGTTGATTTGTAACTGATGTTGCGCACAATGAGGCGAGCTCGCTTCTTTTGCCTGCGCTCCTTTTCTTCCTTTAAGCGTTGCGTGTTGAATGGGTTTCGTCGCTTCGCTGGCTTTTTTTCATTCACATTACCGTTGGACTCTGGTTCTGTATCTAGCAGAGGTTTCATTTTTTTGAGCTCCATTTTCCGCACATAAACATTCGCACCGCACGTGGAGTTCAAGCGTTAGCCTATCGGTGGTTGGATATATCGATAGCGACGATGCTGCCACTATCGCTAAATACCTGTTGCTTCAAGTGTGGCAGCTCCACGTATTTGTTTACGATTTGCAATAAGCAAAACAAATTTCAAAATTTATTTTTTATATTTTTTTATGAACACTTTTTTGTTAGACAATTAAACATTAGGTTTCTTTCTCCTTAAATAGCTCATGAAATTCTGATGGGGTCTTAAAGTAGTCAATTATTAACATCGATGAACGGTGGCCCAGCTTAAATATAATGTGACTCCAAGGATTTAGGACATTTTTAAACTCTTCTATTTGACCGCGTTGAAAATAATGCTTGACTGTGCCAACAGGCCATTGTGAGCCATAGACGGCAACATATCTGTAACAAGATTATGTAATTTATATAAAATAATAACTTATCTATTACTTACTTTTCGCCGCTCTTGTAAATCCTCAGTGGGTATTTGAATACGAAAATTCGTATGGCCATATTTATTAGCACAAACCCCACTGCAAAGAAATAAAAATCTGCTTCAGTCGACGCCAGCACTCCAACGTCAATTTTCTTCAGAGCACTCGAAAAGTTCATTGATGTGGTGGCCAGGTTGTAGCCGGCAACTAAGGTAATAAGGGAGACTGTAAGAGTCGAAACATTCTTTGCCCAGGCCACATATTTCTCCAAGGGTGCACGATAAATGAGCTGATAATTTGCCGGCAAATTATCACCCTTTAAGAGACTACGCTCCACATCTGCGGAGCTTGCGTTCCGCCACTTGCAGCGTAGTGCACTTGTGCTGAAATAAAAGATACATGATTTAATTATTTCTTTATTATTTAACAAAGTAAAGTCCCTACCAGATATTTCTCTTAGTAAGCACTGTTGTATTTAATCTTAAATTAATGCATTTAATGCTATTTCGCAAAAGTGCTGCACACATTTTGTTTGTTATGTTAGCTGCTTAAGTTTTTAGGAAAGTATGCTGATCAGACAAGCCGTGAGCCAAGAAGTCTATTTAAGAAATAGAAAATACGCATAAATTGTTTCATATACCCAAAAACTTAAATATTTTTTTATATTTACTAATTACTTAACATATATTAATTCATAGTCCATTGTGTATTCACCGTAGGACAGCTAGCTTAAGTTTTGTTTTCTTGTAAATTGTATGAGCTCGATACTCTGCTTAACAGATGTGAGTATTTTTGTGTGAGCGCAGTCGGCCGTGCGCTTACAGAAATCAGCTGAGCGTTTGGCGTTGCCACTTAGTCGGCTACACAACACAGCAACATATTTTGTTAAGGAGCTGATATTTTGTTAAAAAAGTGATTTTTACGCAATAGTTTTATACAGCACAATTCTGGAATATATAGCGTATTTCGTTGATGATATGGATTTAAAACGTTTGGCATGCAAAACGGGCTTGGGCGATGGCCCAGATGCCAAGCGCACATCAGCTGTAGATACAGATGAAGATCTTCTGCAGTTGGATCAGGAATCAGGTTTAGATAAGGAAACGAGCGATCCACAAACAGAATGCTTGCAACTAGAACCTACCAAGGAAACAGATTGTGATAGCTTAAAAGCTGATCACGAGAATCTGTCGCCCAGCAATCATGTGGCGCCATACACTGGCAACGGATGCGCCCCTTCATTAGAGTCATTTATGTTCCAACAGACCCCGGCTGGCAGCCAACTCTGCTCCTGGATGTCCAATACTGAATCCAAGACCTCGGCCAATGATGGGCAAACTTTATTTGAGTCGGACAAGGACTCCAAATCGAATACCCAGAGTAAGCAAAAGAGAAAAAGAAAAAAAAAAAAACATTTACATTATCATCTTTATGTCGGGGCGACTCCCAATTTTAGCTGCCAAATTAAATCGCAAGGCACTCACCAATTTACGTCGTCAGAATGCATTGCGTGCTCTTGAGTTGGAGCGCGAACTGGCCACAAAGACACCACAAGCCCCAACACTGCTTGTACGTTTTCCAGATCCAAAAATAAGCGTTGCTTCGGTCAGTGAATTCTCGGATAGCATTCGTGATGTGGTCTTTCCCACAAACGTCGCGCAGCGTTACTGTTTGGTCCACTTGAAGGCTGGCGCAAATGTCGAACGTACCATAGAGGAGCTAAAGCAGGTGCGCTTCGGTCATGGTCGCTTGCACGCCGAGCTGAAGACATTCACCGATGAGGAGCAGGCTGAATGCATTGATCCTTGCTCACTATATGTGAGCAATATACCATTCAATATGAATGCTGCCGACATTAAGGTGTTTGTGAACTCCATGCGCGTTGATATTGGCGTCATGAAACGCCAGAAGCGCGCACGTTATGCATTTGTACGCTATGCCAATGCCGAGTTGGCCATGGATGCTTTCAGGGATCTGGTGCGCCGCACTCTTAACAATCGCGTCTTGACCGTGCGCTATCGTCGCCTACGCAAACGCTTAACTCATCCAACAGCTGCCTCGATGTGCGCCATCTCAAATCTGACCATTGATACGATTGCCACCGACGATGATGGCGTTGAATGTCGCGTGATTTCCCCACCACCGGTGGAGTCGATTACCATTCTGGACAGCGATGACGAGGGTCACCATTGCGAATCGCACAGCGTTGTTAGCCTAAGCAGCAGCATTCCACACAAGAAGCGCGAGAGCAAGATGACCGCCCAGGAGAAGGAGATACAACGTCTCAAATTGCAGGTGGCCGAGCATGGGGCCATCATAAGGAGCTTACAGAAGAGGGAGGGCAGTCTTTGTAAGATTCAATTGTAAGCCAAAGGGATGATCATTAACTAATTGCCTGTTTCAATTCCTCTAGCCAATATCATAGCCAAAATTGAGCCACAATCTGATATGACCACAGACAAATATTCTATAATGCAGCGTTCAATGTCGCCGTGTTCTAGCTACGATATCAAAATGGAAAATGATTATTTAGGTATTGCTCAGAGTACGACCGAGCCGGAGCAGGATTTCTTGCTAGATGCCATACCGAGCTCGCCCTATCGTGGCACAACCTGCCCAATCGATGGCATGGAGGATCCCATCAAATGTAAACCAATCAATTTTGATTAAGATATTAAGTCACTCGTTATGCTCATCCCTATCCTTACTTAGCATCCGATTGTTTTGGCTGGTTGATTTCAGGTCTCGGACGCCGCAAGAGCACAAAATCTAGTGCGCAGCAGCAGCAACAGCTAAACAACAGTAATACTCAGAACAGCAACAACAACAGCAACAACAGCAATGAGAACAAAAACAAGAAAACTCCAAAAGTTGCCAATTTGGAGGTGCTTCATGCGCAAGTCGAAGCCGATTTGGATACATAGATAGGATAGGATTTATGTAAAATCTACCAAATTGTAGCACCTCAAAATTATTTGCGTATAGGACTTTATAATTTTCTATTTCATCATCAGCTTCATACATATTCCTTATATGTAAATATGTCTGCTTTCTGTGTACCCCAGTAGTATTAGTATTAGTAGTCGTCGTCGTCCCAGTAGTTAGTGAAGAATTAGGGGTTTGTAGTGTTTTAACATTCATATTTATTTGTATTATTTTTTTGTTTTTCGATCACTTTTGCAAAACGTACAATTCTATGAAATTGTAACACACAATATAAGTAAATTTAATAATAATAATATTTCGGTTTTAAATGTTAAACCCGAACAAATATCGCTTAGATTTTTCTTACAAACGAAACACTTACACTTATACATACATATACTATATAATGTTTTTATAGTTCTTCATTATTATTTTGATTCACATACGATCTTAAGTGATTTATTTTCTATAAAATTTAATTGTTACCTCAAAAAAATTTCGAAAAAATCGAAAATCTCTTTCAGTTTGAAACTGTAACAATTCGAATTTTAACTAAAATAAGTTGCTTGATCGTTAAAAATTTTTTTTTTTTTTTTTTTTTTTTTTTTTTTTGTTTTTTTTCATATGGCTCGCTATAGTTAATATCGCAAATTGTCATCTTTAAGTTACATAATATACTCGTTGTATGGTAGTCTATATATATATTTATATAGATTTATGATATGATCCTGATCTCCTGTTTTGCTCTTTTTTGGAATGTTAACTATTTAAGAATTAATTTAAGTTACATTTAATGCTGATTTATATTAATTTTTCTCTTTCATTTTGTATTTACAAAACAACGATTTTAAGGCACCTGTTTTACATGATATTCATATATACTTACTTACATATATATGCATCTATATGTAGCTCATTTCTTGTAATTTGAATTGACAAATCTTAATTTTTTTTGGTAGCCCGCAAAAAACTGTATTTGCAAAATTTTGAAAACGACTAAGAACCAAATATTTTATATAATATCTTCGGATAGTTTTATGTAATATTCCCCACTAGGCTCAAATCGATTTTAGCTAATTATAAATTTGGATAGGCAGCAGAGCAGGAAGGTGCTGAACAGCACGCTGGCAGCAGAATTGCTTGTTAGCTGAAGGGACTTCGCACCGGAACCGGTGCGTTCCGCCATTTCCGGTTCGAAGGGTTCGTCATTGGACTGGTTATCACCGACAGCTGTTGTTTTCGAAAGCAAATGAAAATAAGTTCAAATTAGTGCATATTCACAAAAACATTTCAAAGAGTTCTCATTATTATCTATTTAGGAACTAGGCATTTATAACTAAGCTAATTCCATTAGAGTGCACAACTTTTGGACAAAACTTTTTAAAGATTATTGGGTGTAAGATTTTAAAAATAAATTTTAACTATTTGTATATTAATTGCCAAAAATGATCAAGACTTATACTAAGCTAACTTAAGAAAAATAAAAAATAAATCAAATAATTTACGTAATTAATGCAACATACTCTTCCACTCTGTGCGCAAATGTCTTAAAATGTTGAATTCGTAAGCGAATTCCTGGCGTTTTTCTGGGCGTTTTGCAATGGCGGCGGCTGCTTTTAGTTCTGGGCGTGGCATTTGTTTGTGTGATAGTTTTTATTGTTTTAAATACTTTGTTTTTGTTTCTCTTATTTTTTTTTTTTTTAGACAGAGATCAGTCAAGCAAGCATATTTATATGGACGTAATACAACTTAAGGCACGCTTTTATATATATTTATATATATGTACAAATATATATATTTATGATAATACAGTTATGTAGTTGTTGTTGAAAACGAAACTCTGAAGGAACTGGAACAAGTGCGCGCGTTCTTTAAAAGTATCGATTCGTTAGGCTCCACATCCAGCCGGGGAGCAGACCCATGCCCGGGCTAAAACCCGTATTTGTGTTTGGAATCTGGGGTACTGCATGATCGCAGTACGTTTTGGATGAAATTGATAAATTGGATCGCACGCCCAACCGTAATGAAATGAGCAAATGCATATGAAATAAAGAAAAATTTATAAAAAACAAATAGAAGAAATAATCGCATAAATTACAATTTGAGCAATTCAATTTGTGTGCGTCTTAGCGGGCGTGCGTGCGCAAGCGTACGTGTTGTCTGTGACGTAACTACAATAAATCTACATATGTACATACGATATTGTTCTACGTATAATTCCGTATGCGATTGCGACTGCGTTTGCGATACTTTGTTTAGCAAGCGATAGCGATGGCGATAACTAATAATCAGTTCGATCAACTAGCATAGAGTTACAAGTACTAAGAGTGAATACACAAATAGCTACAATTAATAAAGCTTAATTACACGCGTTGATAGAAGCATACACACACACACACACACAGGCAGACAGAGTGAGTTATTGGGATGCGGGGCTGGGTATCAATTAATTGCTATCATACACAATTACGAGTGGGAGCATGGTTACATAGAAGGAGGGAGGGAAGCAACAAGCAGAAGTTGGCGGCTTGTTAAGCCTAGCGCGCATTAAATGTTTTTATGTACATTCGATGTTCTCTTCCTTCTTGCTGGCTGATTGTAATTGTGTGAGCGTGTGTGTGTGTGTGAAAGCAAAAGCAACAAGTGCATCAGTCATTGGCTTCGTATGCCTTCAACTATGCGTGCATTACATTGTTTTTGCTTTTGCTGTGTTCTTCTCTCGTTGTATACATGTGTGAGTGGAGCTGGAAGTAAAAGCAACAAGTAGCAGCGCAGCAGCAGCAGCCGGTGACTCGGCTTCAGCCTTTCACTGTGCATGCACTAGTTTATTTTTACTTTTGCAATGTTCTCGCTCTCTTTCTTATTGTTTCTGATATGTGTGTGTGTGTTGGAGCACAGAAACATCAGCACCATCAGCTGATGCCATGGCAAGCATATGCGCTCATTACTTTGTTTTTGCTTTTGCTCTACTCATGTTGTGTAATTGGATTTGTGTGCGTGTGTGGGTGAGTAGCTAGCAGAAAGAAGGAAACAATCGACGGCAGTCGTACCAGCAGCAGCCGGCGAATTGGTAAGCTTTGTATTTGTTTTTGCTTTTGCTTTCGCTATGTCTTTGTTCTTTTGCTTCTCATTGTCTGATTGGGTGTGTGTGGGTGTGTGTGTGCTTTGGCGTTCGTTGTTATTGCTGTTATTTTCGTTTTATTAGTTTTTTGCTTTTCAGTTGTGTTGTATTGCAGTTGTTGTTGCTGCTGTTGTTCTTGTTGCTGTTGTATTTGTTGTTAATTGTTCTGTTTCGTTTTTATCCGCGTCTCTTAAAGCCTGCAAGAAATATACATACATACATATGTATGTACATGTAGACATGTACGTACAAATGGATGACATACAGTTGAAGTTCACAGCTCGATTTATGTAAATTGAACGGGTTATGGGCAGCAGGCACGTGCATGCATGTGTTAAGTATTCAAATTGGCCGACCGACTGTCAGCAATCGTGCAATCTGGGTCAAAACATAACGGGAGTGGACCACATACATACATTAGGTGGATAACATGTGAGCAAATGAGTGTTTAAGTGGGAGTGTGAGTGTGCGTGTGTGTGTGGTTGTGGGACTCATGCTTGTCTTGTGGATTTAGTATTATTGATAAAACATGCAATTAAAAAGATTTGTGTGAGCTCAGGAGAAGAGCGATCCAAAACAAACAAAAGGAAGCCTTTAGCCAATTGAATTTTGTGCCACAGGTGTCCAAAAATGGATTTCGAATTCGATTTCGAATCGAACATTGTACGCATAAAGTGTTGAAGAATGCCATAATAACTACAGGGTATACATACATCGACATTTTTAGTTGGATTGGGTCACTTATGTAACTAATATTAATATTACCATAGTACTACAGCAAAGAGAATAATAGATACTTAGTGGGTGGGTGTGTAAGGGGTGTACGTACTTAGATTTGCAAAAACTACACTTTGTGTGGGTTTACTACATAGTAGATAAATAGTTGAGAGGGGTTTCATTGTGGTGTTTGACAAATAGTGTTGTAAGAGTGTGCATAGTGTTGTAAAGTGTTGTATAGTTGTAGATTAGATATCTTAGTAACTTTTTAATGCAGTCCTTTATAGTTAGGTTAGCTTATTAGTAAAGCGCATGCAAAGTTTCGGGTGCATGTGGATTCTTAATATTTAGGTAGATTGATTGTAAAGGTTTATTGCCTGGTACCGCCCCAAATGGGAAGCGGGGGTGAAGTTAGTGAGACCGACTGACCAGTAGTTTGTTTTATTGGTTTTCTTATTTGTTTTCTCTTTTCTTTTTGTACACTGTAAGCAAGATGGGATTATAATATTTCATTTTCGATTTTAGACCTCAGTATAATTTTAAAATTTTCTTGGTTGATTTCTTGATTTATTTATATATATTTTTTTTACATGGTATGCTAAATTGAGTTGGTTAGGAAGCTATAAATTAAGATTAGAATAGTTTTTAAGAGGGAGACCAAGCCGTTTAAATAGATACACATGTTAGAAAATATTTTACGAAACGTTAAAAACAAAAATAATAATTTAAAAAAAATATATATTCCTTGAACCAAAAATAAAAAAAAATAAAATCAATTAAAAAAATAAAAAAATAATAAATATAATAAAAATCTTGGAATTAGTAGCATTAACCAAACAAAAGTTTGTTATGAATACAAAAGCTTGGTTAAAAGTAGTTGGGAAAAACTTGATTAGGATTAGTGATAACGACAGAAACCGTTATAGAAGTGAGTGATGGTTAGGAGGTGTACGAGTGTACAAGGTGTTGAAAGGAAAGTGTAGCCTAAAGCTGATTCAGTTTCGAGTACACTGAAACAAACTAAAGTAAAACACCACAAAATAGAAAAAAATCATAAATCATATTTACAACAAAATGATATAGTATACAAGATCTACAAGTACTAGGAGAAGAAATTGGACATACACAATTCGAGAATTAGTTTTCAATATAAAATAATAATGTATTTTGTTCTTTCTTTTTTTTAAGGATTTCTCTTTTTTTTTCATAGTTATTTGTTGTTCAATGACAAACACATTGACTTCAATTATAGAATTGACTACAGTAGGAGTACGGTACATACATACATATATAAACTTAATTAAACATACCATATTTGTATATAAAATTCATTTATCTCTATCTCTCCATATCATTCGAGAGACTTGCAAGAATTTCTTTACTTTGTTACGTTAAGGAGTTTTAAACATTTCTTGGCTGGTAAAAAGTAACAACTCATATCATGTTTATGAGATCTTTTTGACTTATGTTTCGATAATTCTATATATTGTTATTTATGTTTTTTTTTGTTTTTTGTTTACAGTTTCAATTACTATGGAATTAATTGCTTGGTTTCAAACAAAACTACCGCTGAGTCGATCCCACTCACCTGCGTCCAGGTCACTACTATCACCATTACCATCATTGGCATTCAGCTGTGATCGCTGCTCAGACTCAGCAACATCTTCAACAATATTACCTGTCGATGAGGGCGTATTCTTGCAGCCGAACCACCAGTGCGCCGTGGGCCTTGGGAAAGGCGGCGTTGCCGTATCCACCTGTTCCGGAGAAATCGGTAAGTTTGCATTATTCAGAATTACTTTTGCAAGTTTTTAGCTAAACTTTTAGATTACGTTAAGAAACTCTTAGATTTCTATTAGATCATATTCTATAGGCAGTTAGATCATATTCTTAGTGCAGTTCAACTTACCGCGAAGCGTGCGTCGTGGAAGCGATAGTACTTGTCGCCCTTGAAGAAGTACGTGTAGCCATTTGTGTATTTGAGCGCCGCATCCAGATTGTTTGGCACGCCCTCCCAGTTGGAGATGGGCTTGGGGTAGCTGGCCTTAACGGGCGGTCGCTTAGCCGGATCGAATCGCCAGAACTTGCTGCCCTTGAAGAAGTAGATCTTGCCGTTGCCGCCCCAGACCATAGCCGCATCCAGGTGATCCGGAATGCCAGTGAAGCCTTCGCTAATCTCCTTGGGATATGCGCCATCCATTTGGCTGCCCTGGTAGCGCCAGTACTGAGTACCCTTGAAGAAGTAGGTCTTGCCATTCTTGTACGTAAAGGCTGCATCGATGTTGCCGGGCAGTCCGGGCCAGCCCTTCGATATGAGTTGTGGGTAGCCCTCCTCCACGGAGTCCGTCGTCAGCTTGTAGTACTTGTCGCCCTTGAAGGCGAAGGTCTCGCCATGCGCCGAGTTGAACACGGTGTCGATCTTGGAGTCCTTGCAAATGGAGTCGTCCAGCGGCACCTTCGGTGGCGTATACGAGGGTCGGTGTGTGCTAGGCGGGTAGGCGTTGGTGGGCGTGTACTGATTGGTTTTGCGTCCGTAGAGCGATTGTATAGCCGCCTTGTCGTCCTCATCCAGCTTGAAGACAGGCTCAAAGCCGCGATAGAAGGGCGCCATCAGAGCTGAGCTCTGATCCGAATGCGACAGTCCCAAGGAGTGGCCGAATTCGTGAGCAGCTACCTGGAAGAGATTGGTGCCACGTGGCGAGCCTATGGTCCAGAGTTCCGCATCATCAAAATGAGCATCGCCGCCAAAGACGGGGAAGAAGGCGTGAGCCAAAGTGCCGCCTTGTCCATCGAAGGCATCGCCATCACCATGCTCGCTCTCAACGAATCTGTAGAGGAGAGGGAGAGAAAGAGAGAGACAATGAGAGATGAGCAATTTCTGCTTCCTCGGCGTTTCTCCCACACTTACTTAATCTCAATATGCACGGGTCCCGATGTCTTCCTGGTGAAAGTTAGATCGGTGTCCTCGCTCCAGACGGCAAAGGCGCGCGCGATTTCGGCATCGACATCGTTGCGCTTCAAGCGCTTGGGATACTTGGAGATCTTGTAGGTGAGATTCTTCACCCGCCAGCGACTGCCCTGTAGAGCATAACGCTTTGCCCGACTATCTCCAGTGCCCACGCGATCTCTGACACCGCAACGTGGCAATGACATCAGCTTTAGAGTCTCCTCGTCCAGTTCGCCGGTGATATTCAAGCCGGCAAAGCTCTGGAACTCCTCGATGGCGCTGACCCATGTGTGCTTATCCTGCAGTCCGCTGCTGGCCGGATTACGCGCTGAGGCGGGCAGATAGCCAAACTGTGAGAGATACATCTGAAAAAAAGGAACAGGGAAGACGGACTATGAGATTCAAGAATTTCACTCAGTTTACTCAGTTGGGACAGCTGCTAAGTCTATGTCCAGTCAAGATCAATGTCTTGTGCCCGTTGCCAGCAAGGTGGCCCCTGATTTATGGCTATCAGATAAGGCACGTTTTGCCTGCCTTGTAATTGTCCTGCGAAGAGTCTTGGTTAACTGCCCGAGGAACTCATTCGTCATTCGTCACATTTCTTACGCGTATGCAGAAAAGAGAAGAAGAAGAAGAAGAAGAAGAAAACAATCCACAACAAAAAACTATCTGACTTGCATAATTTATGACCCAGCACTTTGGCATGGCAATGTTTTATAATATTCTACAAGAGACGAACACCCCTAGACCCCTGCCCCCCACCCCCCACCACCCACCGGCTGCCCCGTTACCCACCAGTGGGATGGGCCAGACTTGGCGTATGCTCAAATACTTAGAGCGAATCACAGTTACGTGACTTTAATTATGCGATTCGAGGTGTGAAAAAAATATCACGGAGTTGAGACGAGACGAGACGAGGTGAGGTGAGCTGAGGTGAGGTGAGCTGAGACGACTTTTGAGTCAAGTCAAGTTAAGGAAGTGTTTTTCTTCTCTCTTGATTCGATGGCAATTCAGTTAATTGTAAGTCGAATTAAATTGTAACGCAACTCTTTATAGAGCTTGCTAATTGTGATTAGCATTGAATAGCAGCATAGCGAAAACACTCTCCAATAGGAAGTCTATAAACAAGGCGAGGTTAAAGATGCGCCTAACGGACAATTAGCAGAAAAAACTAACTAACTAACTAACTAATTAGTTGCATTAACTGCAGCAATTACTTGTATACACACATACAGATATATGCATATAGATATATTGGATTTATTTATATATGGAATTAGTATTTCAGTAGACTTTTTGAAAGTCTGCTTAAGTACACGATAAGTGGCATTTGGCATGTGAAACATGTGCCGTAAGACGCATGTGTCGCACATTTTTAATGGGTCGCAGCAGTACATACATACATACATACATATATATGCTGATACACTGTGCCATATAAATCCAAAAATCAAAATTATATATACATGTATATATTTACTCAGAAACGGCGCTTGCATAATGGCAAACAAACCTCTCAGCTGACTGTCGAGTTGATTATTTTATTTTATATATTTTTATAGAACTTTTTATGATATTTGCCGAGGAAGTAAAACTTTTTCGGCTCAAAGGCATAAATATGCGTACAACGTTGCCTCAGGCACAAGTATTTAATAAACTGGGTGGTGCTGTGGTTAATTTTTTTTGTCGTGTGGTAACAACCAACGTACAGCTGTGCGTAAGAGTAAGAGAGAGGGACGGGAGAGGGCGTACCGGGCCTTAGACTCGCCTCTAAAGGTAAATGAACTCGCTTTTGTTTTGCTTTTCCTGTAAACATGACTCTTGACAAGCGGCAATCAATCTGTGCACGAAAAAAAATCGAGAATATATATACATATATATAGAGCCTGGCGTAACTGCAGAATCAGAATCGGTTGGAGAATTGAGTTCATAAAGCGCGATACGTACGAATCATTTGCAACATTTCGTTCCGCTTTGCTGTCAAAATTATTACAAAATCAAATTAATCTGTCTCTCGCTCGCTGTCTCCCTCTCTTTCTCGCTCTTTGGCTTGCATTTCCTATATGGCTGGTATTTATTATCATTGTTTTGAGTGTTCCTCTTCTTATATGACTTTTGTTTCATATACTGCTTTGTATTGCTCCAAATTGATGCGGCATAATATTTGTCTTTGCTGTCATTTACGGAGATTTGCAAACTGATTTGAATTTACAATCTCTCTCTTTCTCTTACTCTCTCTCTCTCTCTCTCGATCTACTTCTGTTTCTTTGTATATATCTTTAGGATTACAATTCTATAATCTGACTCATTCCAGATCTTCTCAGATCCTTCTCTCTCTCTCTCTCTCTCTCTCTCTCTCTCTTCCTCTCTCCCTGTTCCCCACTCTATATACTTTACTTAATTACACCTTTTCCTTCGCATGTTTCGCGACATTCCCAATTGAATATTTATAATCTCAATGCTCTCCATCGATCACCCTTACTTATTCTCTATCTGTCTCGCTCGCTCTATCACCATTAATATTTGTGGTATATATTTCCTATATAGCTGTTATTTATTACCATTGTTATGCATATTTTGTATTTTATTGTTTCTCATATTATTCGAAATTAATTCGCTGCCTTTCGTAAAGTTTTTTTTAATTTACACTCTGTTATTATTCTGTTAACGTCACGCTGTTAACGTCACATTAACATAAATGGCATAAAATGATTTGATTAAATGGGTTTAAGGAACTATTTTGGGCAAACTGTTTCGCCGTATGAATGAACTTTAGTAGCCTTGATAATGCACTCTAGATTCGTATTGAAAAGTCTATTTCAGTTTCGTTTCGTTTTACGCCTAGTCTTGAGGGCTTTTCCATTGCTTGTCGAGTGACTGATGACAATGTTTATTTTGGAACTTTTGGGCAGTTCCCCATAGATTAAGTTATTGCTCAAGTTCAAACAAAGCCAGAGACAGTGCCAATGGCCAAAGGAACTAGACCTTGTCTGATTGTGGGCTGGGCTTGCCTTTCAGCTGAGCAAATTCCAGTGTTCGATACTCGCTATTCGAGCTATGCATTATTATGCAATTAACATAATTGCATTGATGCGCTGCAGCAGGGGCAGCTCTCTCGTCGTGGGAAAAACATGAAAGCCCGAAAGCCGCGCATAAAATTCCAATTGAATTCTGAATTAATTGTTTTTATTACTGGAACCGGCTTTTGGCCCTGATCGCATATGTTTCATGCAAAAGCAAAGTTACTGTGGCAACTGTCACTAACTAAATCGACGGCAACTGGCGATGAGTTGGCCCAGTCACCAGATAACAAAGGTGTGTTTGCCCAGCTCCGATAAGATACGTTTGAGTCGCTCGAAGACAACAACTGGGAGTCGTACTGCCTTTAGAACTGTATTGTGTATTGTGCGTTCTTAACGAGCTCTTATCATTCGACAGCTCGTGATTCATTTACCTATGGCTGACGAACCATTCCAAATCATCGAAACGTAGTGAAACGAATGAAGTGCGTCACAAGAAATTGATGTGCCCACATTCTCGAGGATTTCGAAACGGAAGTGTGGAACGGAAATGGCTCTATAAAGCGTACACATGACATATTTCTCATAGAAACACAAAGTAATCTATATAGATATAGAAAGCTATATATATATAGCTGAGAATTGATATGGAAACTTGTATCACTAGCAAAAGTGATACCTATCTTAATGGCTGTGTCAGGCTATTGATAAGTAATTAGAACCGATGTAGTGCATGCCATTGTTATCGATTTTTATTAAACTTGATAAAGTTGCTGAAGCAATTATATATTAATTTATTAAACAAATCTGTATAAAGACACAGATTGCATTTGTAGTTACCACTGTTATCGATTAACCATATCGATTAATCAAATTAGTTTTTATTGTAGAGTCGTTTACTTTAAACTTACTCATGCAATTATAAATGAAGATATTAAAGCCAACTTTCATGTCATTTGAAATGAATATCGACTACAATTGTTATCGATAAACAATAAGCTATCAATATATATTCGTATGCAATTAACAAACAAGATCTGTCAGTGACTACTTTATATAAAATCTGCAATTCATATGAATAAAAATTTGTCACTGCAATCGATATCGATTATTAAGTTCATCACTTATCGCGGCGAACAATCGAAATGCATTTCGTACATGACAATGCAAACAGCGCACACAAATTATACGAAATTATAATGCAAACAATTTGGCTCGAGTTCACGTATCAGCGCACGTCGAAATTGCACTTCAATTTATGTTTAGAGAGAGAGAGAGAGAGAGAGAGAGAGAGAGAGAGATAGATATATAAGCAGAGAAAGACATTGACACAAATTGACAGTAACAGAAAAACAAAAAAACATATATAATAACAAATGTGCTGCTGCTGCACAATATGCAAATGGAAATGTCAACAGCTGGAAAGGAGCTAGAGCTAAGAATTGCACTCAAAGCAGACGCTTGAAATGAACATGGCTTAGGCTGCACTTGCCATTTGTCTACTGGCTGACCTCTTTGCCTAGTTTAGCCGGCTCACTAGCTCACTGGCCACGCCCAATGCGCCCCACGCACACACAGTGCGACTGCAGTTGAACTTGTGGCTGGGTGGCCGAGCAAGGGAAATGGCTAAAGGGCTTTTGCAAATTTTCAAAGCCAGCCCGAGCTGAAAAATCAAATAGCAAAACTTGAAGTGAACTAGAAGCAGTGTGCACAAAAACTTTTCCGAGTCACTGTACAGCTGCTTGGCTTTAAAGTGCTGCCCGGAATGAATCTCTGATTGCGGCACATGCAATATCTTACGGCTTTGATTGAGTGCTTGAACTGCTTGCGAATTATAAGCTTTAGTGTCTGGCCGAGTCACGGAAACATCTCTTCAGCTATGCCATGCAATGCAATGCAATGCAATGCCTTTGAGTCATTGACCCTAGGGCGAAAATTATAGTAAATAGCCAGAGTAAACGCCTCGTTGGCGTGTTTTGACCCTGCTAGCTCTATATATACATATGTATGTATGTATAGTATATATATATTTCCGTTCAAACAAGCACAGGACATGCATAAATTATAAGCCAAGCAGCGAGCGTACGTTACATTTTCCTTTTCCCCTACACTCGCTCTCTCTCTCTCTTACTCCCTCTCTCTCAGTGTCTGTCTGTCTCTTTCCCTTTGGCTACATTTTACTTGACCGGAAATTGATGAGAAAATTTTATTTGCCTCAGTTAAAGTAGGGTGGCTAGGTGAGTGTATGTGTGTGTAGCTCTGGGTCTGTATGCGTGTCTAGGTCTAGGTACATTGGGGTGCGTTTAAACTTTTCCATTTCAGAATTTGGGTCAAGCCAAGTAAGC